TCCACTTCACACCAGTACACACACAGCTGGTGGATTGCATCTGCTCATGTTGTAGGTGATTCCATCATTACCAGTTGGAACCACTGAGAATGTGACCCAGGCAGGACACATGGTTCTGGAGGACACAATCCAATCCATGACAGGTACTGTCTGTTTTGTATAGAAGATTAAAAAAATATTTTTTAATTCACTCTTGTTTGAATGAAAGCTTACAAAGCATACTGGATTTTCCTTTAATTATTCATAGATACTTGTTTTATAACATTAATTGTAATTGATTTACTATACTGTCTGACCAACCTTTATTGCATATTGTGTTTATTTTCACCCAGCCTGTGCAGTTAAACTTTCTTCCCTCTCCTACCTTTCCCAGCCCTGGTAACCATTTAGAAGAAAACTCTGAAGGACTATTACACTGCTAATAAGTTCACTTTTATTTTATCTTTCAGGTTTCAGCACAAAATGAACATAATTAGGGAAAATAAGGACCTGGCATGCTTCTATACCACCAAGCATTCATGGAGAGGAAAGTAAGTATTCCTGCGCCTTCAGTGTCACTGTTCAGCGCTGAGCTTCCATGTTCTAGTGTGGAACCTCTCAGTCACCAAGGCTTTTCAACCCTTTGAGAAGATTGGACGCATGTTTTAAGTGCAAACACGGTATTCAGAATGAATGTTAAGTATGTTTAATGAATATTTTAGCTTTTGACATTCCTGTTTTTCTCTGTCTGTTGTATGAAGGAGTCTGGTAAAAATGAAAGCGTCATTTGAAGGAGAAGAACCCCAGGACCCAGAGCTGGCTGCGCTCCTCTAGAAGGGCAGTGGTTATGTAGTTGTAACAGGAGAGCCACGGCCTCAGCTTTCCCTTTAGACACTAACTGTGTGTTGGCACTGTGCATTCCCATGATGGTCAGAGACACCGTTAGTTCTACCAAAGTTAATTTCTCTTTAAACCTGAAATGTAAATTTTTAAAATTTTACTGTTTTTACAATTCCTGTTGATTTTACATCAAATCATTCATACATATTTTGTGTCCCAATCTTAATTCCCACTAATCAGGCATTGTGGGGCACTCTGGTTGTGGTGTAAGGAGTTATGTTGTCATTGCAAAGGTATGCAGTTCGAATCCAGCAGCTGCTCATGGGAGAAAGATGGGCACACTCCTTTCATGCAGTTTCCTGCTTCTGAAAACCCTTCGAAGGGTCAACTGTAGGTTGCTTCTCACTTCCTTGGTGCACCAAAAGAATTGAGGCATTGTAATTAGTTTGTTATAATGTCTCATCAACCCCTTAATGTATATCATTACCTTTCCTGTCACTCACTGTAATAAATGTCTGTTGTCTATTAATGTTCACTTCCCTATCCCTCCCTTCCCATCTCTCTAACCATCCATAAGTGATTCTATTGAAGTAAACCTTTCCTTAGCTTCTTTTAGTAATAGTTACTATGTGCCATCGAGTTGACTACGCCTCATTACGACCTGTGCACAATAGCTCTGAACTTTGCTCTGTCATGACAGGCTCACTGTCACTGACAACCTTACCCCCATTACCTCGGTTACTCTGTCTCTTCCAAGGTCTTTCTCTCTTGCAGTGTCCTTCTCCAAGGACTTGCCCATCCTGGCAGCATCCCCACAGTATGTGAGATGAAGCCCCAAACCCTTGGCTCCAAGGAACAACTTGGGACCTGTTTGTTCTCTTTGCAATTCAATACTTTTCTCAGCACCACAACTCAAAGGCAGTGATTCTTCTTCTGTCATCTTTAGTCATTTTCCAGCTCTCTGAGGCACGGTAAAAAATTGTGAAGAGCATGGCTTGGATCAGGCACACTTTAGTCTCTAGAGTGACATCTTTGTTCTTCAGCACTATGGAGAGATACCTGACAGGAGATTTTCTTAATGAAATTTGTCTTTTGATTACTTGATTGCTAGCGCAAGAGTGTTGATTTTAGAACTGAGCAAGCTAAAATTGTTAGCAATCTTGTTCTGTTCTTCATCTGTCATGGTGCTGCCAATTGGCCTAGTGTGAGAATCATGTTTTCTTTATGTTGAGCTTTAATCTATGTTGCTGTCTACCTTCCTTGACCCTCTATAGCAGATGCTTCAGGTCCTCCTCTGTTTGAGCATTCAGGGTTGTGTCATCTGCGTAAAGCAGGCTGTTGATGAGTCTTTTTCCAATCCTGATGCCATGTTTCTCCTCGTAAATCCAGTCTCCTGAATGATCTGTTCCACATCTAGATTGAAAAGGTATGGAGAAAAGTCATATCTCTGATACACGCCTTTCTTGCTTTTGAACCATGCAGTGTTTCCTTGCTCTGTTCTGATGACTGTTTTCTGGTTCAATTATTGGTTCAGCATGAGCACAATTAGGTGTTTTGGAATTCCCATTCTTCTCAATGTTAGTCATAATTTGTTGTGATCCACACAGTCAGATGTAGTTGTCCTTGGATTTGCATCATTTATCCTTTTGTGACTAACAAATTTACGAGAAATGCTCAAGTTCATTTGCTATGTCAGAGACATGCAAGTAAAAGCAATAATGAGAGACCATCTTTGTGAGATACTATCTTATACTAGCAACAGTCCCAAAGTTCAAAAGAGCAGTAAACAGCAGATGTTGCTGAGGGTGTGGAGAGATTAGAACTTTTTACTCTTCTGACAGGAACGTAAACTGGTGCACCCACAATGGAAAGCAATCTGGTGTATCCCTAAAAGGTTAAAAATGAAAACACTATTTGATCCAGTAATCTCACTACTAGGTATAGATCCCGAAGAAATGAGAACTGTATCTGGAACTGAAATGGCATTTAAAAGTTGGGTTTTATCTCCTCTTTTCCTTAAGAAGAGGGGCAAACATTTTCATTGTCAGCTCAGTTAAGCCAAGATAATGGATGTTTCTGCCTTGTATCTGTTAAATAGACATCCCTACTCCTCGGATTGCTGTTAGGATTAAGTAAAGTGAAATGGTTTGTATGTTTTAAAATTAGACCATAAGTGCATTGAGTATTCAATGAATGGCTCCATGTGGGCCATTAAGAAGAAAATTTGATTCTTTAGAGTGGTCAGGAAGGAGGGAGTGTCTCACACATTGGCATCTTAAGGTCGTTTTATCCCAGAGTAGGCCTCGTGCTAGATTAAACAAGTACTTAAGGCTTAACTATTTTTGTTCTTACTAATAACTTAAGAGAATAGGTATGGAGAAAGGACATCCCTGACATAGACCCTTTCTGGTTTACACCGTGCAGTATCCCTTGGTCTTTTGAGACTAATTATAGACTTATAGGTCCAGTTAGAGATTTCATATAAGCACAATTAAATCTTCGGAATTCCCATTCTTCTCATTGTTAACTATAATATGTTATGATTCATGCAGTTAGATGCCTTTACATAGTCAACAAAACACAAATAGTCATTCTTCTGGTAGTCTCTGCTTTCAGCCAGGTTATACCTGATATCAGCAGTGATAACCCTGCTACCGTAGCCTCTCCTAAATCCAGCTTGAACATCTGACAGTTCCCTATGGATGTATTCTAGCAGTTTTTAAAAGATCTTCAGCAGTATTTTGTTCACATGTGATATTAAGGACGTTGTTTGATAATGTCCACATTCTGTTGGGTCCCCTTTCTTGGGAAAGGGAACAAATATGCGTTTCCTCTAGTCAGTCAGCCAGCCAGACACCGTCCCTCAAAATTCCCAGTGTAGACTCGGGAGCACGTCCAAGGCTGTGTCTTAGTTGAAGCGTGTCACGTGATATCTCACTTATTCCTTCAGTTTATCTTTAAATTTCTTCATTCATTACCATTGTCTCTTGTTCCTCTGACCTTCCTGAAACTTTTCATTGTTAGCTAATTTTTTTTTTTGTACAGTGAGTGTGTTCCTTCTATCTTCACTTGATGCTTCCTGGATCATTGACGATTTTACCATTGGCAGCTTTCATTATTGCAACCTGAGGCTTGCTTTTGCTTTTCATTTCTTTCCAGACAAATGTCAAGTGAATGCTTCCCTTTTTACTCTCCAACTCTAGCTCTTTGCACTTTCCATTATAATACTTTGTCTTCTCAAACTACCCTTTGAAGTCTTCTGTTGATCTCTTTTACTTTGGCATTTCCTTCTTTTGTTTTGACTTCTCAACACTCTAGTGCAAATTTCAGAGGGGCTTCTTACATCCATTTTGGTCTTTTCTCCTTCCTCTGCCTTTGTCAGGACTTTTTGCTTACTTTATGGATAGTATCTATGATGTCATTCCAAAATGTGTCTGTCTTCTGTGCCTCAAACCTATTCTGGAGATGATTTTAAAATTTATATATTTTCATTTGAGAAGCTGAACTTAATGAAAAAGAATGTGGCATCAAGATCAGAGAAAGACTCATCAACATCTTCTGCTATTGCAGCTAACTGACAACAGCCTTCCTTGCTGAAAGCAAAGAGGACTTAAAGTGCTTGATGCAGAAGATCAAAGATATGGATTGCAATATAGATTGCATCTCAATACCAAGACAAAAAAAATCCTAGCTACTGCACCGCTAAGCAACATCATGATATATGAAGAAAAGATTGAAATTGGCAATGACTTTATCTTACTTGAATCCACAGTCAACACCCTTGATACCAGCAGTCAGGAGATCAGGAGTCATATTTGCACTGGGAAAGTTTACAGTCCGGGACCTCTCCAAATTATTGAGGAGCGATGATGTCAGTTTAAGGAACAAGTGGGCTTTGTGGTCTTTTCAGTCACTTGCTATGCATCTGAGAGCTGGACAGTGAATAAGGGTGACAGAAGAATTGGGGCTTTAAATTGTGATGCCAGAAAAGAGAACTGAACATCCCCTGGACCAAAAGAATGGACAGGTGATCTGTCTTGAAGTGTGCTCACCTGAGATGCAGGATGGTGAAACTTTGTCTCACTTATTTTGGGCATATTTTTTTGAGGAACTGCCCTTGGAGAGAAGAAGATCATGCAGGGGAAAATAGAGGGTCAGTGAGAAGAAGAAAACTAATGAGTTACATGAACAGAGAGACTGCCCCAGCAGGCTCAGGTGTGTCTGAGGTGCTGAGGAGGGCACAGAGTTTTGACCTGTTGTTCATAGGGTCTGTGAGTCATAATCAGCTTAGTGGCACCTCTCAACAGCAGTAACTCGAAAATGTCAGGTAATAGAGAGTGTGTGGTGACTTCTTAGAATGATGCAGTTCTGTGTTTGCTTGTATTTCTGGTTGCTGGTTGTGGTGGGGGTTTTTTGTTTGTTTTAAGCCAACTATAATTTTGAAAGATTTGAGTATTTGTTCCTCTTAGTACAGTTCTATGCACTTCTGAATTAGAGAGTCTTATGTTAGTGGGGTGGGGTGGGGAGGTACTGGGCGGATAAGCTTTAAAAAATGTTATATTCCTGTTTGTCAAAGCTGTAGATTGCCTTAATCATCATAAATAACTTCTGTTTTTAATGTTACAGCATTTATTCATTTTAGAGAACAATTTACTGTTAACACTTTTTGCTTTGTGTAATTTTGATCATCTGGAATATTTTTTTTTTTCAG